GAGCGTAGGTGCTGGGCCAGTTTCTGCGTGTTTGGAGCGGCGGTCGGTGTGTGGGAGTTTCGTTCCTTTGAGTACCCGTCACACCCTGCGTCGTCAATCTACTGAGTTTTCCAGTGAACAGTGATGTGACCTGACAAGCAGTGACCGTCTCACGTGGTTGAAATGCTTCCGCGGTGCCAAAACCACTGTTTTGCGTCGGGCTGTCGGACGGGTTACGCACACGTGAAGGGCAACACGAAGTTGTCTTTTTTTTGGTTTTCAGAAGTATGCAGCCCTGAGGAAGCGACGGGGAAACAATTTGCACCAAGAAGATAAAGCTCTGGATGACACATCTTCCGTGTGTGAACTTTATTTGGAGTTGAGGTATGTGCTACTTGACTACGTGCATGTAGTCGAAGAGACGGAAGTACGTACACCACGTGGGAAACCTATAGCTTGCCTGCGATAGGATGCCATGCTTACCATTCTGCCTCACTTGGAGCCGTATTTGACAAAGAAGACGCCACGAGAAAGACCGATCTGAAAGAGAAAGCGATCGGGAAGAGTGCAAGGCGAGAACTTACGTTGTGATACCATTGGCGATACTAGGGAGATTTAGAATAGCGCACCGCGAGCCGTTGCGGTGTGGTCGCTGCCACTGCGCATGCGTCGTAACGCGAGTCGGCGTTCGCGTTCGCGGACCACACGCAGAAATTCCGAAATTGCGTGCGGTGATGGCGGCCCGCATGTGGCCCGTAAACGGTGGTTTCGAGACGTGTCGCTGCGATCGTGCGTTGCGGTTCGCAGCAGGGCAAACGCTATTCTAAACTACGCCCGCAACGCCCGCAGCGCTTGCAAACGGTATTCTAAAGCTCCCTACTGTTGATGGCTGCGCCGTAAACTAGGCAGAAACGCCTACCGCATGTGTGCAGCTCGCGGAAGCACGCCCAGAAAATATCGCGAGTTATCTAAGCTGTTTCGAGAAAGCTTAAACAATAAACAAGCCAGCACAAACTTCTTTGGGTCCGTTCTTCCGTGTTTTGGACCAACCCAGGTAACGAGGCACGGACGGACGGGCCCTTCGCCCCACTCATCATTCACTCCGTGGCTATGCTTTGATTTTTTAAAGAAATGCAAAGAAGCAAGTTTACAATTGATAGCCGTGCAATGTGTTTTATGTACCTTGATATAACAAGTTTATAGCAAGGCTGCATACACCACGCCAGGAGGAGGAGGAGGACAAGAAAAACAGGAGAATAGGCAGGGAGGTTAACCAGGCACATGCCCGGTTTGCTACCCTACGCTGGGGGAATGGGAAGGGGGTATAGAGATGAGAGAGAGATGTAAGAAAGAGAAGATAAAGAGAGAGAAAAAGGATTGTCAGTCAATGGGCTGACGCGTATGCAGCGGTGGCACTTTACAAAAGTTAAAGGTGGTCACGTAGGCCTGTAGTCCTCAAAAAGCACAAGACAGCTTTCACAGCTTTTTGAGCCGACGAAATGCGAGGACAGTGTTCCAGTAGCATCTGCATAGAGAGTGGCCGATCGTCCAATTGCCGCAATGTGTCCGAAAGCTTCTGCCTTTCAGTGGCAAATCGAGGGCAACGGCATATCGAATGGTCGATGTCTTCTTCGGTGCAGCAGACGTCGCATTCCGCCTTATGTTACGGTGATTTACGGACACATAATGACCAAAGCACCAAGCTCGGACCAGTTTTATTTAAATTTTATCAGCTACATCCGCGTCACCTCCTACGCTGCCCGCCCCGCCGCGGTGGTCTAGTGGCTAAGGTACTCGGCTGCTAACCTGCAGGTCGCGGGCTCGAATCCTGGCTGCGGGTGTGCATTTCCGATGGAGGCGGAAATGTTGTAGGCCCGTGTGCTCAGATTTGGGTGCACGTTAAAGAACCCCAGGCAGTCGAAATTTCCGGAGCCCTCCACTACGGCGTCTCTCATAATCATATGGTGGTTTCGGGACGTTAAACCCCGCATATCAATCAATCAAGTCCTACGCTGCCCAAATCCACGTGCATTTCTGTGCAGCATATATGATAACAGCGTGCAAAGACTGGCTTTAGATGTGCACAATATCCTCCGTCAGGCAGCGCCCTACATTGAAGTCGCTGGTGGCGCTACCACACATGTGACATATCCAGCTTCAAGCAGGGGACCCCAACAAGCTCACTACCCTTTTATAGCTCACTTTACCTGTGCCCGTGTGTTCATCCGTCCGTGCGTCCTGATGGACAGATGGACAGAGGCACGGACGACGGGCGGATGAAAGTACGGATGTATGGACGGACAGAAGCACGGACGGAAGGACTGAAGCATGGACGGACGGACGCACGAACGGTTGGATTTACTGATGGATGGACTGACACTTCGCCCCACTCATCATCATTCGCTCCGTGGATACACTTTGAAAGCCATTAACGCCATGCAGTTATATTATTCTCAAGGACATAAACACACAAAGCCATCTATTGAGCTAATAATAAACTAAAGGTTGCTACATACTACATACAGATAAGGCAACGACCCACGGCATAAACAGCTTCGCCCCTGAAAAGTGGATTACAGAGGTAGATACATTGTCAGCAAACAACTAAACAAAGTCGCCAATTATTGACAATCAGCACGCGAAAAGCTCGAATTTTATAATATACATCCGCACAATGTTGTTGGATAAGGTCGTACCTAACATTATGGAAACAGTTTGTGATTGTTAACAAAAGCTCAATCTCGAATCGCAAATGTCGCATCCGGCGTACCTCAGGCATGTGTGTTGGTACCATTCTTATTCATCTTGTACGTAAATGATAATCACGTGTTCTGACGCCTAATTTCCATGGGCGCTTGTACCAGGCATTTTTACTGCAAAATTTCATGTTGTATTGTGAAGCATCTATACAGGATGCGTGTGTTTGTGAATCATGAGAGCTACTTCCACTGCATTTATAAGAAGAAAAAGTTCTTCTCACTGTTTTCACAAGCAGGGGTGCGGCCGTGTGGTAGAACATCCGCTTGCCACGCAAACGATCTGCGTTTGGTCCCCATTCGGACCCAAGCAACCTTGGTTTGGTCCCCAGTCTGCTCCAGAGATTTTGGTCGTTTTATTATTTTAGTTGCATCGTTCTCGACTTTTCGGTCGTGCATAAGATGATGATTTTTCGCTCACAAACAACGACGCCGACAGCGACACTAAAATTTCAGCGAAACGAGCTCTTTAACGCTTTCGCGTTAGAACTTGATCCCACATACCTTGGGAATCGACGTTAAGCGAAGTATGCGGACGAAAATGACCGTGTTGCGATTTTTTTTTATTGAGCGATACGTCATTAAATGACGGTAAATATATACAGAAATGTTGCACGCCCAGACATATATTGAGGAGTTGTAGATGTTTGTGCAACCAGCTCTTCGCACTTGCGCAACGATGTTAACAAGAACATGAGAATTGGCAACACCAGAAGGCGATAAGCTGATATAAAGTGCTGGCGCTCGCGAGGACGGTAGCCGTGGACACTGCTATATGAATCATCTTTAGCTGATAGCACATCATTACAATTGACGTTTCACCCAACGTGACGGCTGTATCATAGAAGTACATGTATGCAAGTTTACTAAAATTGTATAGCCAGCATTGTAACCACAGTTGACGTTGCACGAACATTACTTTTGAGCTTTGAACTTTATTATGAATAAACAACATACAGTAAAGAAAAACATGCTAGCAACATCTGGATAATTAGCAGAATGCTAGTATGGATCCATGCAATTATAACATACATAAATTGCAGGCAGGAGATAGAATTATACTATGAATGACATTTTAGCTTAAGATGCACCTAATATACCCTAATGCTTAAGACATTAGGGTCTATTTAAAAAGTTGTTCCGAGACCTGACTTGGTCTATATAAAAAGTTGTTCCGAGACCTGACTTGGATCTGGGGTAGAATACATGTTTGACAAGCAGAATGCTTGGGTTTGATTCCAACCGGGACCGTGAAATTTAGTACTTGCATTCCTCGGGTCAACGGTGCTGATGTTAGGTTTTTCTGAACGCTCACGTGCTATAATTGCTCGTGTGTGGTCTCGTCATTCCTGGGTAGATACCGAGTATCAATCACTTGTGGCACACACCCATATACCAGTGGCACATACCCACCCGCGGGTACGTGCCACTGTCTGGCGACAAGTGTTTGACGACGTAAGCGACGGGATTTGACATCATTCGTCTCTTGACAGCGCGTCGTATTCGTATATCCATCTTACCCTCCCATGCTAATTTTGGTGTACCCCAAGTTAAGAGTGTTATCATAAGAGCACGCAGACATAGATAGATAGATAGATAGATAGATAGATAGATAGATAGATAGATAGATAGATAGATAGATAGATAGATAGATAGATAGATAGATAGATAGATAGATAGATAGATAGATAGATAGATAGATAGATAGATAGATAGATAGATAGATAGATAGATAGATAGATAGATAGATAGATAGATAGATAGATAGATAGATAGATAGATTATAAATTCAAGATGATGATAGATGAATTAATGACGTCGTATAGTGATGTAAGCACGAGATCATTTTTCGCGTCACTTGCGTTGAGGTCGACGCCGCCGACGGTTGATCTTCCCGTTAGATTAGGCATCTAAGGCATTTGCCTTAGAGGTGTCTTCAAATGGTGCTCCTAAAACGACAATTTTGAACCACTCGCAAGCACACGCACTATCTAGGCGATGTTTTAGGCGACGTCAACGTAAGAAGACATGCATGGACGCTTATTGAGGCAATGCCTCGGTAATCTTATCGAGCGCGAACGCTTTCCCACGATAATCGTCCATACGCATTTACTGTTATTACGCTGGCGACACCTAAAACGTCACCTAGTTAACGCGTGTGGCTACCGGCGGTAGCACGTTGTCTTTTTAGCAGCAGCCATTTAATGACCCCTTTAACAATAAAGAATGTTAATTGTAGAGGATTATCCGTGATTGATCACTCACCAGGACGCCGTCGATGAACCTCCTGTTCTCTGTGGTGGCCAGGACCCAGAGCATGTAACCGAGCACAACCACGCCCATGAACTGCGATAGCAAGAGTTCAATGTAGTTTTATTGAGTTTTTCCTGACATTCACAAAGCGTGGAGGAGGTCCGGAGGAAGGGATCCCCGATTCGGGTATCTCTACAAGGAAGGTATCAAGCGTAACAGTGGATGAGTTGCAAACATAAAATAAGAAAACTTCGACAAACCCCAACTCCTCCAACTGAACGAACATCGACTGCGGAACAAGTTTTATAATATTGATACAGTTTGTATAGCCGAAGTCGGTGCCTTTATTGACACTCGGTATGCACATTCGCGTGACATATAGATTTAAACGCACAAAGAAACTAGAAACGATCGTAGTAGCACAGTCGAATATGAGGGACATTTTTTTCAAGTTCCACACATGTGTGAAAAGAAAGTCGCATGGTTCCCAAGTCATTATATTAAGACTACTTGAACGCAAAAGGATGCAAATTTGGCCGAGCTGGTGAATAGTCGCCTTGTCAAGAACAGCGCGGAATTCCAAACACGGGCAAAACAAAGTGGCGAAAGCCTTAGTGACAATAAGCATATTCTTTTTTGCCTTATTGGCCGACTGTAATTTCAGCTTATAGGGAGCGTATACGTGGCCAGTCATGTAAGCTCCGTATCTCCGCTGGGGCCATTGTGGCACCTGGCGGAGCAAATCGGAACCACACCCTTCTTTTCACGTGGTCACCGAGATACGCTTTGTCAGTGCAACGAAACACGATGGTAACCTCGGGAACGCCGACGTGCGGGTATGACTAACAGACCCCTAAGTGAAGTATTAGGATCACCTTAAATCTTTATTGTGAATTGTAAGCACGCAACTTGAATACGACACTTAGCAGGGGCTAGTCCCTGGGCCGGTCTACAAAATTGAGCACTGAGGTACGTGCTGTAATCTCATTCTTTTCCGGACGAGCTCAAGCAACGCCATCTTGGACCGATTACGTATCAGTCTCGTATCCTTATGGAATATACAAACAGTGCTACGGTGAACTGGCACGCACTAAAACGCTTAGGCCAGCTAATTCAGCGTTTACTGACCATGATCGTTTCATCTTCCGATATTCAAAACGGGCAAAACAATCGATCATCATTTCATTATGGCGGCACCCATGAGTCGAAAACGAAATCGTGTTACACGTGGAGCTCCAGCATGTGTGGCACCCGAGTGCTTCTCCGCCGAGCGTGTGCTTTCTGAGGGGGGCTTTTCTGTTCTTTTTCTGCTTTTTTTCCAGTGCGCAGTCCCGTCTCGGGAACCATGAAGCGAAGTCGTACCATCCCCGAGTTGTAGGCGGTACCCTGTGTTTTCTCGAAGCTCCTACACATAACAAACGTTCGTTCTTTGCTCGCGTAATGTTCCTGTAAAAGAGAAGCCTTTATTTTGTACCAATTATCTTCTACATTGCCGTTCTCATCTTGAGGAGCAGATGTTCCTACTTATCTTCACCTCCTATGACCCCCAAATATTACCAAAAAAAGAGAGAAAATCCTGATACAATTAGAAATTAAAGAATGGTATAAATGCAGAGAAACACAGAAAAGGAATACCCAACGAAGAGAGACACAGAAAGAGAAAGAGTGAAAGGTAGGGTAAAAAAAGAAAAGACTGAAGATAGCAACAAAAAAAAAAGATAGGAACGATCACGAACTGGGCCTACGTGAAAGAAAATAACAATGCAATAAACGAAATCATGGCATCGCAACGTTGCGGATGCTGCCATGTGGATCGGACAAGGAAGACCTTGAGGAGACCCGCAATGTCTTCTCATCTGAGCCGTGAGGTACGAAAAGGGAGCATTGAATGCTACAGAAAAGAATAGAAGCGGGCAGGCTCGAAAACGTTCAAAGCGGTGCGTCAAACAGAGCGCGGCGGTTGTTGTTCGAGAGCGCGCATGAGATCACTTTCCCCCTTCCCCCGGAGGGTTCTTCCGCGAGTGCCCCTCTTCGCGGGTGCCTCACTTTCGTCTCCCGTTCTCGCGCTCATTGACCCCCCCCCCCCCCCCCCCCCCGTTACGCTACTCTCCCTTCAGCTTTCTACGATTATCCTCCTCGCCACATCCTCATCGACAATGCTCGCCGACACAAGGCAAGGACGCGAGCGGTTTGCGCTTGCGTGAGCGCTGCTCCCATCGGCGCATAAACCCTTTATACAGAACTACATTTGACATTACAAATGCGTCAGTATCATTACCGAAAATTTTATGGAGTACTCGCGAATTTCGAACGAGTTACGTTGAATTTCCAAGAAAAAATTGCGTAGAGCGTACGACATTATTGAAGTGTAAAAGGAACACTTGACCATACAGAACAATTTTAGAGAAACATGGAACAAGTGTATATTTGTTGCACTGAGAATGGTTTCACTGAAACTTGTTGACCTAAACAGTAAACTAACAGGGCCCTTTATGCATTCGCTTGAGACCATTCGAAGGCGAAAGCCATCTTCGTTGCCTCTTCAGTCGATGTGCTGACTCGCCGCCGCCCCCCACTTACCGAATGCTTTCTGCACTTCAAGTAGTATTGCACGACCTCCGTGAACGACCTACGTTTCATCAAGCGGCGATGTCATGTGAGGACGTTACCATGTGACGTTACAAAATTTGTCGACCTGTGACGTCAGGCCTGATGCCATTGCCTGAAATACTAATGGAAAAGGGGGTGTCTTACCGAAAATAAGCAATGATGATAAGTGTTATTCTGAAGTTGTCAACGTCTTCAGCAAGTGCATCCTTCCACCCACCCGAAAAAAAAATTTGCTGTTTACGGGCGTCGGTGACGTTATGACCCGACGATAATTTGTTTTGCACCACTCGTGTTGACGCCGATGTCGCGGTACACCGGCAGTCAATTTTTTTTAGTTTGATGGTGCATCTGAGGCTTTCACTTTCAATACAGAAGTGCAGCCCTTACGGACGTCCGCATTGGTTGGAGAGCCCATTCCGGAACATCAGCCTCAAAAGCATACTATGGCAGTTTTTTTACCATGACCCAATAATTGTGCTATTATGTTCCTTAGGCACTCTTCTCACGTGCCCGATAACTGAAATACTCAAAAAATTAGAAAATGATTTTTAATTACCAAAAAACCGCAATACCGGAACCGAAACCTTACCGAGTGCGCTTGTAAGCGTGACGCAAATATTTGCCTGATGCGGCCGGAACCTGCCTGATTGCATATAATGCTCGCCAGATGGCACCAGCCGTCCACGCCGTTCCCGCCAATCGGCTAGAACGCTTACGCTGTTATGGTGAATATATGGCGAATCGTGTGTGGCTCACAACGCAACACCACCTATCGCACGCGCACTAACACGGCAAAGGAAATCGCATGCTCAACCAAGGAAGCGCCGTTCAAACCCACACAATCCATTGGGGACAAGCAGACGCCACAGTAGCACGTCAGTTCGCCACTTCCGCCAGACAAAATTCAACGTCACACACACACAATGTTGCCATTAATTCTTGCAAGCGTTTCGAGACAAGCTATAAAATTCATTTTAAAAGAATCTGCGAAACTACCAAACGTGCAACTTTACATGAATTGCGCAAACGTGGAAATGAACGTACCCAGTGAATTTTCTTGAGATCCACCGACCTCGAAAAATTGCCGGAGTTGGCCGAGTTCCTTTAACCAAGGCCGTTTGAGCCTGGAGGAATGAGCGACCAAACAGGGCAGTTTTACACCCCTCTCGGGTTTGGTTAGGTTTGAGGGGAGGGGGCAGAGCTCAGTTGAGTTGGCAAGGCCAAACAATGTGGTAGGCGTCAGCCCCTTACCCACAGTACTGGCCGCTGCCAGTGAAGGAAGAGTCGAAATTTCACAGTATTAGCATGAGCCCGGGAACGTGAAGTCGGAACAAGATGCATGCACTAGACTTGTCCAGCGTCTTAGCCGAAAATACGTAACGACGAAGAACGTATTCAACGTTCATTCCTTCCCTCACTCACTCACTCACACAATCACTCACTCACTTCATTCACTCACTTCATTCACTCACGTCTGAATGTACACCCTAACATGAGGAACACCACAACATGAACAACACGGAGGAACAATGGGAGGCGCTGCTGTCCAGCTCGGCCTTTGAGGATCAGCCTTGGCTGTGAACGGGCTGAGCCATGCAATAGGAGTCTGACCATTCATACTGCCCCTCGTTAAGCGAATATAAAGTCTCTCTCTCTCTCTTTATTGACTCACCGTGACGAAATTGGAAAATATGTGAATTGGAAAGTGCGTTCGGCGATACCCTGCGGCAATTCGACTGACTATGTCATGTCTTTCTTTTTTACTTTCTTCTTTGTTTTTAGTTTCTTACTCTCTCACCTATGACGTGATTACAGAGAGAGTGTCAGGGGGAGAAACCGCAGCTGTGGCGGCGCTACTGTTGGTTCGTGCCACTGTGCCATCACGTGATTGCGAGAGAGAGAGGGGGAGTGAGGGAGAGGGAGAGGCCACAGCTAGCACCATTATAGAGCATGGGCGGATGGGTACTGCGAGTTCCAGACATTAAACGCATCCGCACCCTAATGTAAGAAATCATTACAAGACCGGCCCACAAAAGCGCAGTACGCATGCTCTTCGAGTTCATGGGGAGAGTCGCGTGAATTGGAGTTCTTTCCCCCAAACTTATGTGATTTCGCTTTGCGCAGTGTAAGAGCTATTGTGGTTGGAAATTAAAAGTATCTTGCTTACACTTGAAATGTGATTTTTAACTGAGCACTGATGTCACGATCTCCCAAAGAATATGATTGAGCGCTAAAGTTGTTCAACTGACACCAGCGCGACAAGGATGCATCTACAGGGTCATATTAATGATCTAAAGCGTAAGTGCACTTCACTGCAAATAAACCATTTGTACAGATTGGTTCACACCGCTTCAGCTTACTGCTCGGTAAGGAGGTCCTGGGGTGGCTTTCAGCTCTCCCATAGTAGAGTACTAAGTACCTTGAATCGTTAATCACTTATTTCTAAACACACATCGGGCCTCGGCATGGGTGTAATTCTCTCG